GGGGGGGAGTTGGTGAGAAATCCCGAAAAGATCCCGAAAATTTGGGGGGGAAAGACCCCCAGAATGGAGGGGGACATCACTTTTAGGGCAAAAAAAAATTGGGGGTACCTCAATTTCCTGGAGCAGAATGAGCCCAATTCCATCCGGAAAAAAAACAAAAAAAATCCGGGAATTCGGGAGGGGGAGACCCCAACTCTAAAGAGAAAAGACCCCGAAAATTCGGGGGAGCGTCACAATTTTGGGGGCGATTGAACAAAACCCAAATTTAGGGGGACACCTCATTTTAGGGAAAGACCCCAAAATGGGGAAGGACGTCAGTTTAAAGGCTAAAAAATTGGGGTACACTGATTTTTAAAGCCCAATTCCATTAAAAAACCCAACAAAATTGAGGGGATCACCCCTTTTTTGGGAAAGACCCCCAATTGGGGGAAAGATATCACTTTTAGGGTTAAAAAATTGGGTGCTACCCCCATTTTTGGAGCCCAATTCCATCCCAAAAAAACCCCAAATTGAGGGGGACATCCCTTTTTTAGGGAAAGACCCCCAAAATGGGGAGGAATATTAATTTAAGGGCGAAAAAATTGGGACCAACCCCCATTTTTAGAGCCCAATTCCATCTTAAAAACCCCCAAATTTCGGACGGCATTAATTTCCCTGCCAACACCCCCCTAAAAAAAAAAAAAAACCCCAAAATGAAGGCACCACCCAAATAAACACTCGAACTCCATTTTTTCCTTATTTTTTTTTTCCAATAAAACCCTTTTATTGCCCGGAGACCCCCCCTCCCCAACCCCGTTCGTCCTGTGTGTCCTCCCAGCCATCACTCCATGGGCGGCTCCAGCAGGTAGCCATTCTCAGCCCCTAGGTAGCCATCGGTAGCCGCCATCCCCTCGCTTGACAAAAACATTTCCGAGTCCCCCGGGGGTCCCGCGTCGCCCCCCTCGGGTCCTCCCCCTCCTCCTCCTCCTCCTCCGGTTCCGCCGCCCCCTCCAGCCCCGGCCGCTCTCTCGTCGCGTCTCTCCCGCTCCCGTTTGTGCTCCCGCTCCCGTTCCCGTTCCCGTTCCCTCCTCCTCTCCCTCTCCCGGTGTCCCCGGCGCCTCTCCCGCTCCCTGTCCCGTTTCTCGGCCGCGTCCCCCGCCATCCCCTCGGCGGCTCCGCCGTCTCCCCCCGCCAGCTCCTCGGGGGGCTCCAGCCCCTCTAAGGGACCCTCGTCCTTCTTGTCGCGCTCGCGCTCGCGTTTTCGCTCCCGGGATCTCGAGCGCCGCTTGCGGTCCCGCTCCCGTTCCCGGTCCTTGCTGCGGTCGCGGCTCCCGCCCCTTTTCCGCTCCCTCTCGTCCTTCTCGCGGCTCCGCGTTCGCCTCCGCCGCTCCCGGGAGCGCGAACGGCGCCGCTCCCGTTCCCGAGATCGCTCCCGGCGGTCCCGCTCCCGCTCCCGCTCCCGGTCCCTGCGGGGATCCCGGGACGGGTGAGGCGTGCTGGGGGTCCCTGACACATTCCCGGGGGTCCCTGACCCATTCCCGGGGGTCTCTGAGGTGTGCCGGGGGTCCCTGACCCATTCCAGGGGTCCCTGAGGTGTGCTGGGGGTCCCTGACCCATTCCCGGGGGTCCCTGACCCATTCCCGGGGGTCTCTGAGGTGTGCTGGGGGTCCCTGACCCATTCCCGGGGGTCCCTGACCCATTCCAGGGGTCCCTGAGGTGTGCTGGGGGTCCCTGACCCATTCCCGGGGTCCCTGACCCATTCCCGGGGGTCCCTGACACATTCCAGGGGGTCCCTGACCCATTCCGGGGGGTCCCTGACCCA